AGTGTAAAGTCTGCACTTGGAAGGTAGAAGTAGAAGGATTTTGAAATTCAAGGGCATCCTCAGGCAGCCTAGACTATGAGGCTGTGCCTCAAAGCAAGCAAAATAAAAAAAGGCAAACCTAAAACACACATGAAGAAAATCTCTCTCCGGGCAGTGGTAGCACACACCTTTAATCCCAGCACTCAGGAGGCAGAGGCAAGTGGATCTCTATGAGTTCAACACCAGCCTGGTCTGCAAGAGCTAGTTCCAGGACAGCCAGGGCTACACAGAGAAACCCAGTCTCGAAAAACAAAACGGAAAATAAAAAAACAAAAAGAAAGAAAATCTCTCGTTTTCTTGAATGTATACATTTTCATTTGTAGTCGTCTTTTTTTAAAATATTTATTTATTATGTATACAATATTTTGTCTACATGTATGCCTGCAGGCCAGAAGAGGGTACCAGACCCCATTACAGATGGTTGTGAGCCACCATGTGGTTGCTGGGAATTGAACTCAGGACCTTTGGAAGAGCAGGCAATGCTCTTAACCACTGAGCCATCTCTCCAGCCCTGTAGTCGTCTTTTGTTTGGTTCATTTACTGAGAGTGTCCTTGTGAGGGGCAGCATCTCCTCAGAAGGCTGCACAGCCCACAGTGACTCCCTGACAGCAACATCCCTGCTTGCTGAGACAGCAGGTCACCCTTAGAGGTGTTTCCCGCCTTTGTAGAGCTGCGTTTCTCACAAACCCTGTATTATTGATCAGCAAGGCACTGGCTTTTGGTTTTGCATATGCGTGTAAGCATGCAGTCTATGTGTACGTGTATACATGTACATGTGTGTGCACAAGTATGGATGCACATGTGCTCATGCTCACTCGCGTGCATGTGAAGGTCAAAGGTCAGCCTTGGATGTCTTCCTCAATCTCTTCCACTTTATTTTTTTAGGCAGATTCTCTCACTGAACCTGGAGCTCACCAGTTCTGGGGATCCACCGGTCCCCACCACACCCCCAACTCTGGTGTTACAGACACACACAGTGCGCACAGCTTTTTCATGAGGACTGGTAGGGTCTGAATTCGGGTTCTCATGATTTACTCCTGAGCCATGTCAACGGAACAAATAGCAAAAACACTTCTGTCCTTCAGAACCCTTACAGTCTGGTGCTCCGTGAAAAAAGTAGGTTAAAAACAATCTAAAGTCTTCAGTGTTAAATCATAGGGGAAGTTGCGGGGGTAGAGATGGAAAAAGAGACAAGAAAGAAAAAGGAATGAAAATGAGGAGGAGGAAGTGGGTGAGTCTCAGCAGCCTATTTTTAGGTGGCGGAATTTCTTTTATGTTTGTTCTAGAGGCTCTCCATCAAGTGTGTATTCCTCTCAGGGAAGAAAGATTCATGGTCCAGCCCAAATAACTTCTCTATAACACTGTCCCAGGTCCCGTTTTTAAAACTTCATCATCACTTAGTTCTCAAATAAGGATAATTTGAGCATCAATGATTTCCCAAGTAAAGCCCAAGCAGGACAAGAGGCATGATGGACTTGGTGGTGTTTCTGTTCCTTCTCCAGTTTTCACCTTCAAGAGCATGTTAGGCTTCAAGGAGACTTAGTTTATGCACTTGACAACTTCCTATTTGATGAACTTGTACTGACTGGTGTTTGCGTAGGTGTAGTGGGTGGGGTTTTGGTTGCATTTGTGGTTTTCATTTCCCTACATGATAAGTTAATGCTGCTTGTATACTAAACGCGCGTGTGCGCGGGCACACACACACACATACACACACACTGTATACTGGCTGGTTTTGTGTGTCAACTTGACACAAGCTAGAGTCATCAGATTAGTGACCAGTGGGGGAGGCAGGGTCCAGCTCATGGTAGGTAGTGTCACCCCTGGGCTGGTGGTCCTGAGTTCTATAAGCAGGCTGAGCAAGCCATGGGAAAGCAAGCCAGTAAGCAGCTCCCCTCCATGATCTCTGTGTCAGTTCCTGCATCCAGGTTTCTGCCCTGTGTGAGTTCCTGTCCTGACTTCATTCAGTGATGAACAGCAATATGGAAGTGTAAGCCAAATAAACCCTTCCTTCCCCAACTTGCTTTATGGTCATAGTGTTTTATTCTAGCAATAGAAGCCCTGACTAAGATAGCATTCATGCACATGCGTGCATACACACACACACACGCAGAATTATGAACGATTGACTTCAAACAATAAACACCAAATCTCTTACTAAAATAAAAACTAATCTGCTCGTAGAGACTCCCTTCCTGGTACCCCACTACCTTCTGATTTGGAGAGAGAAAAACTTAACAGATTAGAGACCCCATCATCCCCTCTCGGGCCTGTCGCCCCTCACGTCAGCAGCCTATCACATAGTTTTAGAAGCAAGAGTGAGTGTCAAGCGTTTAGAAATTACACAACCTGCTTTGTAGGCCAGTTTTAATTAGAGGAGGCCCAGAGGTGAAAGTGGGGTTAAGCCACTTGAATGAAGGCAGCTTTGCCCAGAGAAGACAGGGGAGGCCATTGTCACTATTTGAAGACCCCCCAAAACGGTCAGAGCTGGACTCAGCTCCCCACTTCTGCCTTTCTAGCTTCCCAGAGGTGCCTCGTGCAGTGGGAGGGAGAGGCTCCTGGAACCTTAGATATTAGAATATACTTATGCTGTGGGAGTTTAAACACCTGACACCAGAGAAATTTCCATCTAGATGGGGGACTGGAAGGAAAAGGATTACTGTGTGGGTTCCATGTGCCAAGAGATTATACCTCCGATTGTATCATTCTGGGCACTTCTCTGGGTTCGTTAGACATCAGAGAGTGTGCCGGCCGGCCGGGACACCTGCACAGGAGTATCAGGTCTCCCTTAACTGGGTCAGTCATATTGGTATTCAGGATCAGACAATACATCGGATCTTCTCCAGGAGATACCACAAAGAAAATTTGGGTATTTGTATTTTCTTTAAACTTGAGTTTTATTTTTTCACAATTTATCCAATTTTTTGAGTTTCATACATGAATGATGGTTGTTTACATAATGCCCACCCTACCCTCTTCCCGGTAGCTCCTCCCGAGTCCCTGACTCCTCGAGTTCATGAGCTCTTTAATTGTTACTGTTACACACATATACGCAAGTATAAACACAGCCTGCTACGCCCATTCAGTGCTGCTCATATGGGTGTGTTCATGGCTGACCACGGGGACTGGATAATGACTGGGGAGGGCGACCCAGGTCCCTGGGGAACTGATTTCCCTCGCTCGGCAGCCTGTAGCTCTTCATCAGTCCAGTGGTTCTCAACCTTGTGTGTGTGTGGGGGGGGGGTGGAGGCGAACGACCCTTTCAGGATATCAGATATCCTGCGTATCAGATATTTACATTACAATTCGCAACACTACCAAAATTCCAGTGATAAAAGTAGCGAGGAAGTGATTTTACGGCTGGGAGTCAGCACGGCGCGAGGAGCTGTACTCAAGTGTTCCAGCGTTAGGAAGACAGAGAAGTACTCAGCTAGCACTACCTTCTAGGGGTTTGCCATTTTGACATTCTGTGCCATTCCAAGATGTCCTTGAAGGACACTTTAGAATAGCCAGCGAGGCAGCCAGCTTTTGGTAGCTCCCACCCCCCTTTGGAAGCAGATCCCTGCTGTATAAGCGCAGACTGTCGCTCCAGCAGGCCTGTGCCGCCGCCCCTGGTGTGGCCTTGCGTCTGAGCTGAAGTTTCATTCCCCTCCGTGTCCATCCTTTGGACTTCCCATGCGGTGTCCCCAAACTCTCCCACATGTCAGTGTCGCCTCAGGACCTGTGCCCCAGCCGTCCGTGGGAGGGAAGCAGGACCTCTGATCGACCTTCCTGTCTGATGAGAAAATAGACGAGCAGGTGCATTAAAACCAAAATCCTCTGACTATGAGTTTTTAATTCCTTAATTCCCTGACATGGAGTGATTTCATTGAGGAGATTGATTTAATCTCTCGCGGTTGATGTATCAACTATTTGCTGAGTTCCAAAATAAAATTGGTTCAGGTTGTCGGTCGATCCCCGGTGGTGCCCTGTGTTGAGGATTTGCATTCTCATGCTACTGGGACTGCTTCATGGGGTGAAGATGCCTGTGCCTGCAGTCCGTACCTCTGTGCCCTGTGGGCGAGCACGTCACAAATCACTGAAATCACGTTCACGCGATTATTATTTATTAAATTTTAAGTCGTCTGTTTATTTGTGGTTGGGGGACATGTATACCACATCACACATTCGGAAGTCAGAGGCTGTTGGTGAAATGAGTTTTTCATTTCACCTGTGGGTCATGGGTGTTGTGATTTATGGCGCAGGTGACCCTGGCAGGTCCCACCCGATAGATACTCCATGCAGAGGGAGCTTGGGTACGGAGAGTTTATTTAGTGGGTATTGGGAGGGTATAAGAGTAAGGAGGTTATGGGGGGAAGAGAGAGAAAGAGAGAGAGATGAAGAGACAGAGAGAGGAAAGAGGAGGGGGGAGGAGGTAGAGGCTGCCTCTTCAGAAGAAGACTGCAAGAGAGAGAAAGGAAGAGAGAAGGGAAAAGCTTGCCTCAGTGGGAAGGGGGAAGATTGGGAGTGGGTGGAGCTTGTCTCTTAAAGGGACAGGGTACCCAGGTGACAGGGCAGGACAGCCTACTTACAATTATAACATTCCTGTCTTTTTCTTATAATAAGGAGGCAAGGGGTTGGCTTGGTAGCAAGTGCCTCAACCTCCTGAGCTGTCTTGCTGGCCTTTCATTTTCATTTTTAAACTCAGGTTCATAAAAGAGAGTGTGTGTCTTGCCTGCCATTAACGAGGTTCCTATAAATGTGAGCTAAAGATTATGGTACATGACTTACTTTATAGTTGAAAATGGAGGAAATGTGTAAAAGACATAAGATTACGAGATACACTTGTTTTTAATGCACCTGGTAGCAACATCTGCAAGTGTCATCTTTGCTCACTTTTCTGTTTGCCTTTGACAGTGGTTTGTGGGTCCACAGGGCTGCCTTTCATCCTTTTAACAATCCTTTATTTTGCTTTGTTTTAGGGGTCTCAAACATCGACACTTGCTGCTTCCTGCTTCTGAAGCCCCTCAGAGCAGAGGAAGTTTGGACTGACCGTTGGAGTGCAGACCCCTGAATATGATGCATTTCAAAAGCGGCCTCGAGCTAACGGAGCTGCAGAACATGACTGTGCCCGAAGACGACAACGTCAGCAATGACTCCAACGACTTCACCGAGGTGGAGAACGGCCAGATAAATAGGTGAGGCCTTTTCCGCAAGTGGCGCCCAGGGAAGGAAAGGTTTTCAGTTACTCCCGTGAATTATTCATTTACGAAAGTTATGCTTCGTTTGAAGATGCGATTTGAATTTCTTATGTGACATCTGTCGGACATAGCCTGGAATAGCAGAGGAGGGGAATAGGAAGTAATTTATTCATCTTTTCGAGTCTTTCAATTGAGCCTAAGAAAAATGTATAAATACGTTGGACCCCTACCAGCCCAGACTTCTCAAAACTCTATGCCTGTGAATTGGGCTATAGAATTTCATCACCTCTCGTACCCATATGTGCGCCATAACCATTGCCACACATTTTAATCAGGAAACTGCGAGCTGCCTTTGCGTGGTCTTTCTACAGATGACTGCAAACTACAACGGAGCTATCGTACCGAATAGCATTTGAAGTGTGGAATTTAAATGATAATCATGATCGATAGGTCCAAATGACTCTGTGAAAGACTGTGGGAGAGAAATAGTCCATGAGGGAGAAAGAAAAAGGATGGGAGGAGGGACTAGTGGGGGAGGGGGCAGGCCTGGTACAGGTCAGTCTGAGACTGTTAAATTATCAGGGTAGAACTAACTCTTTTGATTTTTAAATGACTTGAGATCATCCTGGGATATAGTGACTTTTTAAAATCTGAATTTTATGGATCCTTAGCAGGAAGCCTTGCCTTGCAGGAATTAATGGGACAATCTCCTAAAACACTGGGAGAGAGTAGGGCCTGCAGGGTTTGCGGGGCTCCTTTTAAAAAGTTTAATTGGATATGTGTGATGTCAGACAAACTGTGGGAGCTGGTTCTTTCTCTCTAATGCGTGGGTGCCAGGGATCAAACTCAGGCGGCCAGGTCTGGTGGCCAGTGCTTTTTACCCCTGGGCCATCTTATCAATCCTGCAGGACTGTGTATCATAAGGCCTTCAAGGGCACACTTTGTTAAGGCCACAAGGGGACAGAGATAGGAGGGTCAGCGCCTAGCCACAAGCAAGTGTCTTTGTAGGAATCATTTCTGACAGTCTGAAGTTCATTCTGATGCAGCATGCCTTGGAAAGCCCAGCCCAGGACTGTCCTTATTGACAGTTCCCTTTCCTTCCTGTAGTGAAGGTTAAGCCTCCCTATAGACACTTCTTCATTACCATCTAAGTGTGTTAAGTGATATTTCTTTATATTGGAATCAAATTTACTTACTTCTTACACCTTTTTTGAGTGATCATGAAGAGTTGCTTCTATCTCTTTTTAATTATGTGTATGTAGAAGAATGTGCCTGTGAGTGCAGTTGCCTGTGGAGACCAGAAGAGGACGTCAGGTTTCCTGGAGCTAGAGTTATCTGCAGTTGTGAGCCTCCTCACATGAGAGCTGGGAACTGAACTTGGATACTCCGGAAGAGCAGCACAGAGCATTTCTCTAGCCTCATAACTGCCATGTTGTTGTTATTGCTGTTATTTTGAATTTTTGAGATGGTCTATCTACGTAGCTGGAACTCTCTATGTAAGCCAGGCTGACTTCAAACTCCCAGCCCTTGATTCTATTTCTTGACTCTCAGTGTTTGACTTATATCACCGTGAATCTTTAGACCATCACTGAAAGCAGACATCTTCAAGTGAGAAGAAAATCTGTGAATCAAGGGGCCATCTTGACCCACTTAAATCTGTCTCTTTCCTCTGTCCTTCTGCGTTGGATACAGTGCTGGGCTTTTCTAGTGGCATGTTTTTTGTGCGCTGTGCTCCTGAGCAGTCTGGAGCCACTACTGACCTCCACCCAGCGGTGGTAAGGAGGCCATTTTGGTTTTATAAGGAAGCCTTTTTCTGGCAGCGGTGTTACCTTGAGGCCTTTAAAAGTGAGTCATTTACAGCTCAGCCTGGAGTCTGCCCTTGAGGTTTATAAGGTTTGCTTACAGAGCATGGGTTTTTAGGTGATTGTCATTTGCAGTAGGTGGAAGGAACACCCCTTGTCCTTGTTCGCCTAGACTCGGGCCTCCTGTGGGGTGAGCTCACTTCCCCACAGACGGTGACTAGCCCAAAGCTGGTGTGGGGGAGCTTTGGCTGACATTTCATGGAACTTTTGTCCCTCTCAAAGTCAGTGCTTTGCATTTCTTTCTTATTTTTTTTAAACCTCATTTTATTTCTTCTCCTTTACGGACATAATTCAGAATTCTTGCTTCATTCCTGGCTTTGTTGTTTGTTTTTGTTTGTTTTGGTGGTCCTAAGAATTGAACTCTGGACTTTGTGTATAGTAGAGCCCCAACCCTTCCTTCATTTCTGGCTCTGACAATTAAACCCACCATATGGCAGCAAGAGGCAAATAAAAGTAAATAAACGTTAAACACAAACAGCTAATTGTATTGAAGGCCCCACAGAGTGACCGGCGTTCCATGCCTGGAGTATTCCAGTCATCTTTGCTTGGTTCCAGCTCTGACTGACTGCCCTTAGCGCTTTCAGTAGTGAGCTCACGTTTGTGGGAGGGTGGGGCCAGTTATATCCGTCTAAGAGAAGAGAGTTCCCCAAGCACTGAAAGTCTCCCCACCAGTGCCTCTTTGTAGGGACTAAAGAAAGCGCTGAAGATGGTACTGATCTTGGCTGACAGATCATCCAGTTCATAGCTTTGTCTGGACACTTCCCCGGATACAATAAGAATCATTTCTGAGGTTTAATTAATCGTACAGTAGAGCCGCTTAGGCATTCAAATAAATGCTCGCTGTTATTCTAGGCCAGTTGTTTCTTTTGTGCCCTAAGTATTGCCCGATAGTGAGAAGCTTAAGCTTCAGACGGCTAGCCTTATAAAGAGTCAATTAGACCTCCATCAAGGCACTTTCATACATGTGTGAGACACTTGTGTGTTTGGGTGGAAGCTCCATCTCAGCCCCTCCTCTCCTTTTCTAAACCCTGCCACCCTGCAGTCCTCCCCCAAGCTGCTCAAGACCACGCCTCCTCGGTGTACAGAGCTGCCACTGAGCCCCTCCCGTCACCCAGGAGTTGCTTTGCTCGGATTACACTTGGTCTTATTAATTTATTGCATGGGTGGAGAGACTTAATATCGGGGTGCAGAAAACTTTTCACTGAGCTGCTGGTTAAAGTGCGGGTTCTGTTTCGGGAAGTCTGGAGTCCAGTAAAATCTAATCCTGCTCCCACTGCTCCCTGGGAACCACACTGAGTAGCCGGCTCTTAATGCATCCTATAGATGAGCTCACCAGAAAAGGGTATCGTCTTAACCATCGTGGTACGATGGTACTTACCACCGCAGCTGAGCCAATGTGGACTTAGCAAATCACCGATGCAAAGGCAGAGAGAAGGCTGAAGGAGGGATGGAAAGGGACAGTCTAGCTTTAGGTTTAGACCTGTATTGAATCCTGACGCTATCACAGACTTCCTGTGATGTTCTCAGAGAGTCTCACCCATCGCCCTGAGGCAGACTCCAGGGCCGTCAGGGATCAACAGAGCTGTTCCTTTGGTAGATGAAGAACACTGGCTGTGCACTCACCTGTTTAGGCTCAGGTTCTCGGCTCGGCAGTTCAGGAATCAGCAACGTAACTGCCGGAGGTGGTGGCGCACGCCTTTAATCCCAGCACTCGGGAGGCAGAGGCAGGAGAATCTTTGTGAGTTCAAGACCAGCCTGGTCTACAGAGCTAGTTCCAGGACAGGCTCCAAAGCCACAGAGAAACCCTGTCTCAAAAAAAAAAAAAAAAAAAAAAAGCAACGTAACTTCAATCGGTTTGGTTAACGTATAGATGGGAGCATCCATGTAAAGCCCTTGGCCCAGTGTCTGGCCCGGCGGTTCAGCCTCATAGTCTAAGAAGAGTCTGTATGTATATCTGTAGCCTGCTCTTCCTGGCTGGCTAGCACTTTGTGCTTCTCCACCCCATGAGGTGATGATTGGCTTTTGGTTTTAATGATTGTTGTTATGGCTCTCCTCAGTTTGGTGAAATATTTGTAGGTTACCCTAAATCAGTGGTTATCAACCTTCCTAACACTGCGACCCTTACTTAGTACAGTTCTTCATGTTGAGGTGACCCCTAACCATAAAACTATTTCATTGGGGTGGACAGAGGTGGTACATACCTTTAGTCCTAGCACTCAGGAGACAGAGTCAGGTAGATCTCTGTGAGTTCAAGGCCAGCCTGGTCTACAGAGAGAGTTCCAGGACAGGCTCCAAAGCTGCAAAGAAACCCTGTCTCAAAAGACCAAAAACCAAAAAAAAAAAAAATTTGCTACCTCATAAACGTAATTTTGATACTGTTATGAGTCATAACATAAATATCCGACAGGCATGGTGTCTGATACACGACCCCTGTGAAAGGGTCGTTTGACCTCCAAAGGGGTCGTGACCCACAGATTGAGAAACCCTGTCTTAAATGTCTCCAGAAAACTCTAAGCCTATCTTCCTATCAATGTACTGTTTTCCACTCCTATGTGTAGTTATTTGTTATGAACCAGACACACAGTTTGATTAAAACTTAATTTTAAAAGAACTTGGGATTACCTTTATTATACCTTTGCTTCTGCTGCTCCATAACAATTCAGCTCTCCTTTCTCCTGCGGTCAGTAGAGTTTGTAGCCAAATTAAGGTTTCGCCTACCCTCAGTCTTCCCCTTCATGGCTTCCTGTTTGTTTCTTTTTATGTATTTACTAATTTCCCCATACTTCTTGATCTTGTGATATATATATATGTATATATGAATGATATGTGCTATGTGATATACATGATACATATGATATAGGATATATTATCTATATGATATATGATGTGTGTAATACACACACACACACATAAATTCTTTTGAGACAAGGACTTGCTCTGTAGCCCAGGCTATCTGGAACTCACTGTGTAGCCCAGGCTGGCCTGGAATTCATTCTCCCCCCTAATTGCTACTGTTACAAGCAGATGCCACCATACCGGCCCTGATCCCTTTTTATCCATATCTCCTTCCCGCCTCCTTCTCTGTAGAATGTCCACACATCAGGGAAAGGACTGGGAACCAGCATTTATATTCAG